CGTCCGCCGGCCCGGCCGGGGCCAGGCCAGGGCCGGTCACCAGCCCCGCGCGTGGCCTGTCTGTCTCGCCCTGCTGGTCCCAGGCACCCTGGGCAGGTGTGAGTGGCCACCGTGGGGCTTCCGCCAGGCGTGGTGTCCACGTGTCCAGGCCGGGAGCCGGCCGACCGGCCGCTTCGGGCTCTCGTGTCCCGGGGACGGGGCGGCTTCCTGGCGATCACGCTGGCCGGCCCGACTCTGCCGCGGTGCGGAGTCACGGAAGCCATGTGGCAGCCCGCGCCGCCGTCCCCTGGCGTCCGAGTCCAGGGTGACCGCCCCTCCGGTGGCAGAGGCAGGGGTCATTAAGGGGGACTGTGCTGCAAGATCTCCGCGAAATCTGCTTGCTCCTGTGGGTTCACCCCCCGCTTTGCTCGCAGGCCTTTCACGGGGTCCTGGAGAGGCAGAGGCTGATGCGGGGCGACCTGGAGGATGACGAGAGTGTCAGAACCGCCGAGGCCATGGCTGCACTCTGCCAGGTACGTGGCCGGCCCGGACCCACGGGACCCTGGGCACCGAGTGAGCCTGACAGCCTCCATCCCCCCCGGCCGGGGACCCCGGGGGCAGGTTCCGGCTCCAGCCTGGCCCTCCGGCTGGGTGCCCGGACAGGCCACACACCCTCGTGGTCCCTGCCAGGCTCGCACCTGAGGCGCACCCCACTGCTGGGGCGGTCGGTGTCCTCACCTCCGAACATCCCTGTAGACAAGATCTCTGCACGTTTACTCAGTTTGCTCAGGATGAAAACTGAGCTGGCGCATGTGGGTGTCATTGAGGGGTGCTGTGGAGGGAGCCCTGGGTTTGAAGCAGGGAGATCTGGGTTCCTGTGCCGGCACCACCTCTTTCCCCCTGGACAACCTCGTGCCATGCTGGAATGAGGCGAAGTTCCGATTGCTTGAGGCTGACGTTGCGAGACCAGGGGAGCCCGTCCACAGCAGCCGTGTCAGTGATGAGCTGGGCGGGGCCCCTGCCTCAGGCAGCACCCAGCGCTGCAGGGAGGCAGGGTGCAGACACAGGCCACGAAGGAACGCAAAGGCCACGTGGCAGGGGGCTCTGGGC